GTGCAAGGATTAAGGGCCTGAGCTACTACTGACAATGGGATTAACCCCTGCAGGAAATTAAAGTTGTAGAGAAGGCTCTTCACTCCACAGCTGAGAGAAGGAGAAAAACTGGGATTTGGATTAGAATTGGCAGGGCTGGTGACAAGTCACCACCCACAGCCAACTGTTCCCGGCTGGATCAGAAAATGTTATCTCAGTCTTCATGTAGAACCCCCCTCCACATCTCACTTGGTTACCAATTTTTGCCAACAGTGTGAGAAGAATAAAAACATCACTCTGTGGCAAGAGAAAGAGGAGGAAACTGGGTAGCCAGCTCACGTGTCCCTCCTCTGAGCCCCTCTCCCACTCCCTCACCCGCTTCCCTTCTCAGCTGCCTCCGTTTTGCACCAAGGAAACATGCACGTGGTCTGTCGCCTTCAATAATACTTAGAGAAGATGCTGGCACACACATGGCTGGATTTCTTCCTGTCAACTGCCCCCTCAGCTCTCCTCCTGCTGCTGCTCTGGGCCTCCTCCATATGCTGCACTCTCACTGTGCTGGGACTTTCCTGTCACTTCTGTGTTGGGTATCCCAATCTCCCCACCTGCTTCCACAGCTTCCCAAGGAATCCCACTTCTCCACAGCAGTCTGGGTCTTTCCCATCAGTGCTACCCACCCTGTTTCCCCTTCAGGTGCTCTGTGCTTTCTCAGAGGGTTTGATGAGGCCTGATGCTCTTGGTATTTCCAGCCCCTCCAGCACCTCTGAGTCTTATTACTGTGCACTGGGTCAGGGAGGCTTGGGATGCAAATAATGTCTCTTGGTTAAGGTATGGGATGAAGAATCAAGAAAACTGGCTTCTCTCCTGATTTTACCACAGGTCTGCCAGGAAACTTTGGGAAAGCCTGGTCAATCTCCTTTATTCTGTGTAACTCTGATAAGTCCCCCACGAATCACCTCTGCAGGACAGGAGAAGGTTTACAAACCCAAGTGATCCAGTGCAAGTGCTGCACTTGGCAGCTTTGAAAATCTGGAGCGGGGAACTGATGTGGACTCATAATGAGGTATTAAGAGTTGGGCAGGTGAAAATTCAGCCAGCCAAACTCAGCAGCCATTTCCATCTCTATCGTAGTTTACCCTTCCATACAATGGGGATAAACTTGATTTCTCTTGGAGGGGCTTGGGGAGGAAGCACCAATCACATTCGCATTTCAGAGGTGCCTACACATTATCATTCCAAAGATCAGAAGTTTTTTGACCTCTACACATCCCAGAGAACAGGGTCAGGTTTTTATTCACACCAAGTCAGGAACGTGGCAGAGTCCCTTCCAATACCCAGTGGGTTTTGCATGCTCTCTACGTACTTTACAGCTTTCTGTATGAGGTGTTTTGCTTAGCTGTGATCGATTACTGCAAGTCAGATAGCACCACTTCTTCTGCAGTTGTGTTTCTAGTGTGAATTTAAAATGTGCTTTCCATTGATTGTGACAGCACAACACTAATGAATCCTGAACACAAGTGTTCATAAATCAGCAAGTGCTGGAAATGAAGCCCCCAGCTATTTAGCTTAGAAGCTCACTGGGGCAGTGACACACTGTATGTTTCTTCAGTGTTGCTGAGTTTGGCTGCCACCTCTGGGTGCTTTTGCTGCCCAAATAAACAACAACTGAAGAGCTGCTGCTGAGACAAGGTGACCTCTTGTGGTCAATAATTTGCTAGAGTGACCTAGGTCTGTTGGGGGACCAAGAATAGGCATCACCTCCATGTCATCTAAACGCACTTGTGGTACTGACGAGCACGATTCCCCACGAGGACTCATCAGCCACATTACTTTACAAACTTCATTTGCTGTAACCAGACCCCATGGCTGCTGTGTCTCACTGTGTATCTCATCTGTGCACCAACTCTTCTCCCACAAGGGCTGACGGTGGAACAAACATACAACAACATGCTTTTATCACTGGACCCTGGGTTATCATTGTCCCCTTACATTATGGGTGATGGTGATAAACAGGAATCCTGAATGTAACAAAAAAAGGGGAGGAAAAAAAAATAATCTCCTTAAAGTGTCCTCCATGTCATCCCTCACCCTGCTGTTTTTCTGACAAAGGCCAGAGCAATTCAGCACACGAAAGGGGAAAGGGGCTTTGCCACCATTTGTCAAGAAGAGTGTTGGGGCAGGGGGGGATGAATCTCTGTGTGAACTTCCTGATAATTTACTGGCATCTGTTGCAGCCTGTTACCTACTCTGTTGTAATACAGGTCACCCACCAGTGCTCCTAAGCCAGGATGTTAACGGAGTCTGATCCCTGAGCCATGATCCAAGGGTTAGCACAGGGGACTAGGAGAGAGAATCAGAGGCAGAGGTTGTTGGGCTCTGTTTGTGACTTCGACTCATCCTAGTGACACAGTCACCCGTCTCTCTAGCCTCAGTGTCCCCATCTGGAAAACAGGATAGCTTTATCTCCCCACCTAGAGCAGAGGCACTACTGGCAAGGACTTCAGCCTTACTTCTGGGGGTCATTAAATACAAAATAACACCACCACCTACAACCATGGTAAGAGCCATTCATAAAGCAGATGGAAAGCTTCAGATAGAAGGTGTCGCAGAATTGCAAAGTGTTACTAAAACAGTATGGGGATGCAATAAACTGAAACCCTCCCCACCCCCACAGTGTGCTCCTTGGGACCTGACTTAGGAAAGCTAAAGCTTTGGAGTGATACTGCAAACGGTACTGGTGCCTGGGCAGGGAGATGGGAAGCACAAGATGGTGACAGTGCCTGCTGTAGCTTCTATGCCCTGGGAAGTGCTGCAGAGTCATTACAATCTCCTCAGCATCCCCCCCAGCAGTAAAGTCCCCTGTTCCAGCTAATTAGGGGAATCCTCATTAGAGAGTCCTCTAGAATCTGACAGCAGGCCAAATGTCCGTGTAGCACTTCAGCTCAGTGTATTTTTGGCCACTGGAGCCCATGGGCCAGAAACGGATGATTTCATTCTGTTGCTTTGAGCTGAAACTAAAAAACTTGTCTTTTACTGTCCTATATCAAATTGCAAGAAGAAAAGGCCATGAACAGACCCACAGGCTACTCTGTTCATATCTCTAGAATCTGGAAAAGAGGTTCAACTCCAAGCATGTGGAAGAAAGGTCTGGACATCGTGTCCCAGGGATCCTAGGGCATTTGGCTGACATGTTGCTACGCAGAGAAGGAACCATCTAGTAAGCCTGGAAGAAAGACTAATTCCTCGTTTGTGGAGGCCTTGGGTGACTTCAGAGCATTCTGAGCTCCAGCAACACAGATCAGCCTTGAGCCCCCAGACCCAAGCAATGCTATGCTGGTTCTGAACGGATGGCATGGTGCCTCTCCTCTTCAGCTAGGTGTGTATAGGGGCACTCCTAGGACTGGCAGAATACTTGCTGCTGCAAAAATCCTTGGCTGAGAGGTGGAAAGCAGTCAGCCAGATTTGTTGGTGCTCTAGAGAGGTTCAGGCAGGTGCTAGCTGCCCCAGGACTGTGGGCTTCCCAGTGCAGCACTGGCAGTGAGCACAGCTGGCCTGGTGCTCTGCAGAGCAGAAGGCATCTCTTGGGCCACAATAAAACAGCTAATTAAGTCAGAATTCAGGACAAGTCAGAGAAAACCTTTAAAAAAGAAATTCTCAAAACCCCTCTCTGCCTTTTTGCTCTCTCCTGGCTGTAGAATATTAATCACCAAGGGGCTAACATGCATATAGGCAATAGATGCATGGGAGAAACTGGGTTATTCTGAATCCTTGGAATTAAAATTTCTCCATAAACATACTGCTTGAAGGTATAAATGCAGAAGCTTATTGCCCTTTGCACTTGAGCAGTCAGAAATCTCCTTCTATTCCAAATCTACTAACCTGCCACCTGAGCTTATGTTATGCTTGGAGAAGCAGGCAGTTCTGTGCAAGACATGGATGTTGATAAATATGGGTCACAGAAGAGTCCTTGGTACATTTGCAAGCCCAACTCTGTGCACACATTTGCAAATGTAAGCCAGATTGGGAACTATATCTGCATATGTACATGAAGATAGCTGCTTTCAAGTCTCAGAAACATGTGTGTGAGTGCACAAAGGGTGGCTGCTAGCTACAGGGCGGGGAGTGTTATGTTTATGTGACATGCTTTTAAAATAATCTTGGGTTTATCAAGGCGCCTCCATCTTTGTGCGTGTTGCAGTGCAGAAACCAGCATTAAAGCCTGAACAGGTGTTAATCACTATGCACTGTAATAAATTCTAAACATAGGGAAAGGGCTTATTTAAACACGGCTGCTCCTCCCATCTTGCACTCTGTGCCTGAGCTTTGGTGCTGTCTGAGAGAAAGAGCCACCCATGAAGTACGAGAACTGAGTGCAAGAGCTGGACTTGTCCCACGAGAGCAGAAGGAACTAGGGGTAGAATCCCTGACCCCACCACCATCCTCATGCCCAGGTATACCGGCCTTGCTCTTAGTCGCCCAAGTCTTGCCTGGGGATGGCATGGCTGAATCGCACAGAGCAGTGAGTGTGGTGGGGGAGGCACCAGCCCATGGCCTGTGTGGGGGCCTGTGCTGAGGGGACACCACCAAGGGAAGCCGTGTCACAGAGCACCCAAGGAAACTGGCAGCTGTTTTTTACAGGCTTAGCCCCCCTGATTGGCGCTGAGCCAGCTGATACAGATGGGGTGTTACAAAACGGAGCCGAAAGGCAAGAGCGCAAAGAGCGGAGCTATCTATAACCCTGACAAAGTTAGATGGAGTGAAGGTGGGGAAGAGGGAAACAGCCGCTGATGCTGAGAGCAAGGACGCGCTCATTCGGCAACGGGATTTGGAGCTGATCGACTCCCGCTATCCAGCAGGCAGATAAGGCTCTGTGGCTGTCAGCTTAACTCTGCCATTTATTCCTGTGCTGTAGGGAGTTAAATAGAGCACACAGAAAGCCGGCTGCTGGGGAGTGAAAGTCAGGGAGGGAGAGGGAAGGAAGAGGCTGCAATTGGGCAGTGCCCGGGGAGTCGGGTGGAAGTGGCTGTGGGCAGAGCCCCTCCAGGTAAGTGCTTGTGGTTTTTCCTCATCCTTGTTGATACCGACAGCCGGGGACAGGAGACTTCGGGGGTGGCATTTAGGATGGAGACATTGATATGGGGGAGGCTGAAAGTCTCCTTAGCCAGGATGAGTGCAAGCACTGAATGGGGACAGCTATTTGTTGTGGCTTCTCCTTCAGCAGGGACTGAAGGAAAAGGGCTCGGTTTGGGAAGTGGGGGGCTGCAACGAGTGAAGGTTGGATCAATTTCAGTACCATGAGAGGTATTCATCTATTTGCTGCATTGGCATTTTGGTAAATGATCTAAATAGCCTTGCAAAATGTACAGGTCCAGGCACTGAACCTCCTTGTCTTTCTCATCGAGCTGCTTATTGATGCTTATTTAAATATTTCCTGGCGATTTACATTCCCGTATAAAACAAATCAGTCATGGGAGCCTGGGGGAGGGGAAGCAGCTGGCACGTGTGTGGGGAGAGTGTCCTGGTGGGAGTGTAGCACCCAACTAAAATAACAGCTGTGAATGTTGTCAGAGCCCCTCAGATGGAGGATGGTTTATTTCTGTACCCGGGTTGAAATGTGTCCATCTAACTGCTGCTGCAACTGTGGGTGTCATGTCAGAGAGCAAGCAGGGGAACAGGAGGGTCTGTGGTGTTTCCTCTTTTCCTACTTGTCTGCATCCAGAAAGGAAGCGGGAGGGAAGTTGGAACCTGTTGTCAGTCACTTATTGTCAGGGGAGAGTTTATGGTCTTTGGGTTTCTAATTAGACTGAGCATTTTTCCTTCTTCTAATTAAGATGTAATTCCTCTCTTTTCAACACTCCCACTCAGTCTCCCCTGCCCCAGGTCCTCCCTTCTCTTCCGAGGCTGGCTCAGTCTTCAGCTCCTGCATTGCTGCAGCGTGAAATCCCCCAGCTGAAGCTGTGCTCTGCTCAGCCCCGCTCTGGCTACCACATCCATTTTACCTTAGAGCAGAGAGGAAGCTCTGGTAGGGAGTACGGGGAGGGGGAGGAGAAGCAGCTTGGCAGCCACGGGTGCCCAGACCTCAGTGAGCCTGAGCCGTGCGTCAGGGACACGATGCACAGGTGGCACCAGCCTACGTGGAGGAAAGAGGGGATGAGCTGGAGTCTGCTGCCCTGGCAGTGTCACCTCAGCAATTCATCAGGCTAACCTTGAGCATGAGGCTAACGGCACTACCATAGTGGGCTACTCAAGCACGGCTCGTCCCTTCGGCGCTTAGGGGAATCAGACCTTCCTCCTGCACTGCAAAGTTCAAAGTGAATTAACACAGTGCCTTCGTCATGCACCTCCTAAAACATCCTCCATCTCTCCTCCAAAACAGAACTGATGTCTCAAAGGCAAAACTCTGCTGGGAGGAGGGAAAGGACAACACTGACCCCAGTCCCATGTCCTGCACTGAATCTCACCCATTCTGCTCTCCCCCTCCAGGACCTGGCAGGCCGGCTACAAGGTCATTCCCCCTCCCTTTGGGGCCGTGTGCCAGCCTGGCTGGTGGATGTGAAGACACGCTGGAGAAGACAACAATGCTGCCTACAACCGTTGGCCACCAGTGGAGAAGCAGGTTCCTCATGAGGTGGCAAGAGGCTTGTCGTAAGTAATGCCTACTCAGGTACTCAGTATGATGATCCTGTTTGTCAAGGGAGTGAAAAGAAAATAGGTCACATCAGGGTTAAGAATAGGGGAGAGGGACAGCTAAGAATGGAGATGTTTGAACTAATTCCTGATTCCTTTAGAGGCCAGGCTAGCTGGGAGGGAGAGTGAGACTCTAAAGCTGAAGATGGGCTTAAAGTGGGACAGCGAGTGATGATTGCTTCTGAATTCCAGTGGGCCAGGCAGGCGAGAAACAGTGAGACAGATACCACCACACAAAGATCCACCTCGATTATTTCTCAGGCTGGCCTCCTGTAAGCTGCAGACTCCTCTCTGTGGTAGGGGTTTATACACAGGCTGCTGAGCAAGGCTCCCAGCTCTTCTCAGCAGAAGCCACGACAGCTTTTAGAAGGGAATGCAGGATGAGAATGCAGAATTCTCCTACTGGCATTGCCACATGGAGTGAAAATCAAGGAGTAAATAAAGAAGATATCTTTTAAATTAAATTGTAAAAGTTCAGCCTGTGCATCTTTCCAGAGGACCTGGGTATTTGCTGCAGTACCCCTGAGTGCAGAGCAGGAACTATTAGGGCAATGTGGGGCTTCAGAGAAGCCTCTGGAGACCACAGAAGAGGAAAAGGAGCAGTACTGCATCCTCAGCTGCAGAGCAGGTCTGTGGTTTTCCAAATTTGAGGCTGCTACTGTAAGAAGCTGGAGGAATTATTTCCTTCTCCAGAAAACAGACACCTTTGTAATCCATCCTCAGAGACTAGAGTGATGTATAAATTATTTATAATGAATGCTACTGAGTCTTGACTTAATCTAATATACCTGGATCATCTTTCTGCCACCTACTAGAGTCACCAAACACCCCACAAAGTAACCTGATCTTCCCCTAACACAAAACCACACACTACTCATCCTTCTGTAGGGCTGGAAGACAGTTTCAAGGCCTGTCTGTTGCTTCCCTGGCTCTTCTCCATATAGAGTTGCACCTTAACTAGTGTGATGAATTCCTTGGTCTCAGCTCACATCCTAGGGGATATACCTCTTGTAGGGACTTAAAATGATATCAGGCCTTCTCCTCTGTTTATGATGTTAGCAAAATATTTCCAAGAGCACAAGGCAATATATGGGTAACAACAAGACATTTTTGGCACATCCTGCATGGCTGCAGAAACTTGGCATAAATCCAGTCCCTGAACATAACCAAAGCCAGCTGCCTGAGACTTTGTTCCTACCAGCTGCTGCCAGCATACATACTGGTGGAACCCCACCATCACCCAGTTGGGGCCAGTGGTGGGTAGGCATTTTGGGAGATAAGCCCTGAACAGAATGCCACCTGTATAGCATTACACATGGTCTGCTCTTGCCTTTCTTGGTGTACAAAGCCGCTAAATGTTATCTCATCATCACAGCTGTCAATCTATTATTAATACTGTACTTTTGTTAAGCATCCAGGAAAAGATGGGGTCACGAGTGACTCATGGCTCTCTCCCTTCCCCACTCCAACTCCCATTCTTTTATTTCTCTCCCTACAATAAGAGTGCAACATACTCTGGATGGAATTAAATATCAGCCAGCCAGCCAGTAACTGCATTGCATGGGCTATGATCTACTTTCATGGCATCTCTGCTGTTGACCCCAACCTTTGCATGACAAGAAAGCAGAGGTGCTCAGGGTAAAGATCTCTCTTACATTTCACCGTAAGAGCACACAGATTGTCACAGCCCGGGCTGATGTACCTCTGAGATCTCAGCCGTAGGACAGAAAAAAATCCTTGAAGGACTTGTGAAAGATGGATGAGACACTCTCTCTGAACACTTATCCCTTGGTCCTTAATAAAGTCATATAGCTTAGGATCCAAACTATGTAGTTCTTCTCAGGCTACCAGTCCAAAAATCTGCTGGTTCTCACAAGGATCGCTTGGAATACAAAAAGGCCCTACGGAGGATGGCAGGGTTTGAGTATGAAGGCAGCTGGCAGAAGCCAAGTCAATATTTAAAAAATTTAAAAAATGGGCTGTGGGTCAGACTAAACTCTAGAGAGAGTGGTGTGAGGGAAGAGTGAAAGAGCGTGGCTGACTGAAGAGCTGTTCCAGGCAGAGCTTCTCCAGAGCATGGGTTTCTGCCAGCTCCTTCTCCCATGGAAGTCCCTTTACATTTTCTTTGGGGTTAAGGAACAAAACACCTGCTTATTGGTTCTTTGGAGAAAAGGCAGGGAAGAAGAATCTGGTTTCCAGTCCAGGAAAGAATGGTGAGACAATAAACGCATCCACTTTGGATACCATTCACCCCTAAACAGACTCTACCAAGCCCAAGTGAATGCCTTTCCTGAAGAAAAGTAAAAAAGAGAAAAGACAGGCCATGACATACAGAAAAACCTGCTTCAGTTTTAGTCAAATGCTCAAGCTTTTGTGAGGGAGCTGAATTGCTTATTACATTGAGGAAACTAATCTCAGTTCCACAAAAGGAATGAAGATGAAGGACGCGTGTTACATTGTCTGCTTAAACCTAACTCCCACTCCTCTAGTCACAGGAGGCACAAAATTTGCTTTCCTGTTGCTGATGAATTTTTGTTTCAGAAATGAGAGTTTGAAAAGCCACTGGCTCCCAGGGAGGGTTGGTAACTACTGCCTTGATGCCACTTGCAGGATCTGGACCTGTATCTGGAATGGTGACCTACAACAGCTCTAAGAAACGCTGGTTTGTGGATTGGCCAACCTTACCTTTCAGACAGTACAGGAGAAAGGGTGTGTGTGTGTGTGTGCTAACCCTTTTCCTAACGCCCCTTTCTTCAACCTGCATTTTTTTTCCTCATCTCTATTGCTGTGGGCAGTTTTGGTCAGAGGAGATACATGAGAGGATATTGCTGTGGAATTCAGAAACCAATTCGAGGACAATGACAAATACCGAGTGTCCAGTTGGTTAGGGTCTCCTTGTTACTTTTTAACAGCTTTCTTGGTCATCCCTTTGTAATGCAATCTAATCCAGAAGTCTCTCGCAACAAGGTCCATGCCACACACCGTGGATACTGTAGGAGCACAAACGAGATGTAGATTGCTTTATTTTTATTTTTGTTAAAAGCTTTCCATTAAGCATGTCTTCTTCTGAAAAAACAGAGCTTTTTAAATATATACTTCTCCTTTCTCTCTCAACCCTGACTGTTTACAAGAGCTGTCCTTTATCAGAGGTGACACCTCTGACTGCTCTCTGCTCCATTCCTCTCTGACAGGTTCCAGAACCCTCGTATCTGGCAGCAAAAGTTCTCTGGGATGCATCATTCTAACTTACTTGTAAAACTGGAAGGATATTTACTCACTTGCTCATGAAAAAAAAGGGCTAAAAGGAAAGTCATGCTGCCAGGGTGCAAGCCAGCAGTAAAGGGATGTAGCTGTGAGGGAGCTTTGTATTGTGGTGAAGAGTGTCACTGTGAGGGTCTCACTGTAGCTGTGCTCAAGATGGTGATGGGTGAGGATGGGAAACCACTGCTCTAATACATGCACTCTCTCTCCCCTGCTTTTCATCTACCAGTGCTTGGCTGTTGGCTGTCACTATGTGCTGCAGAGTCCTTCTTTGCTTGTCCTTCCTCCTGCAAGTGTAACAGTGGCAACCTGGAAGTGGACTGTAGTGGCTTGGGCCTATCTTCCATCCCCTCAGACATCCCCACAAACACCAGGACCTTCCTCTTTCTCAACAATAAACTCAGCATCCTGCCAGGAGCAGTGTTTTCCAACCTCTCTGCCCTACAGAGGCTGGATCTATCCAACAACTTCTTGGACCAGCTCCCTCAGAACATCTTCAGTGACCTGGGGAACCTCACAGAGCTCCAACTGAGGAACAACAGCATCCGGGCCTTGGACAAAGACCTGCTACAACACACAGCCCTGCTGCGCCAGCTAGATCTGTCCATCAACGGCCTGGCTCAGATACCCTCGGGCATCTTTGATGACCTGCCTGCTCTCCGCTCCCTCTCTCTCAGGTCCAATCGCCTGCAGAGCCTGGACAGGGTGACATTTGAACCGCTAACCAGCTTGCAGCAGCTCCAAGTTGGGGACAACCCCTGGGAATGTGACTGCAACCTCCGAGACTTCAAGCACTGGATGGAATGGTTCTCCTACAGAGGTAGGTGTTTGCACCGCGGGAGCCAAGTGCAGAAGTGCTGGCCTTCCACGGAAAGGCAGACAAAGGCAGGCAGGCAGGGAAGAAACATGAGCAGATGCATCTGGCAGGTCAGGCTGATCTGAATGCCAGCTCTTAGTCAAGGAGCTTGAGAACAATGCTACAGTGCTAAGGGACACTTCAGTGCCATTGCACCTTCATACAGCAATACTGCCAGGCTGGAAAGTCCTCTGCAGCCCCAGATCTTCTATTTCCTGTTTTTGTGCTTAATCTGAAAGATTACCTTTTTTTTTTTTTTTTGGGGGGGAGGGGAGGAAAGAATTTTCCTCAAATAACATCAACATTTTAGAAATATGAGTTCCCCTCACCCTTTCTGCCTAAAAGGAAGAAATGCTTGAAAATAATCACCTTGTTCTCTTTCCTAAAAGCCAGATTAGGCTGCAAAACATCAGGTTTTCTTCCAACAAAGGACCCATAGGAAACAGTGCCACTTAGGAAAATACCACAACTAATATTGGCAAACTCGAACTAGAGCTCAAATTAACAAGCCAAGCCCCAAGTCAGACAGACTATAAAATCGTCATTTCTAACAAGCAGGTTTTGACAAGTTTGTATTTCTGGCTTTTCCTTGCAATGCAGAAGGCTGGAAAGGTACATCTCCCTTAGCAGGAA